GTATGACCGCAGTACGGTGCATTGTGTGCCCAGCTTTAACAGTGTTTTCCATAACAGAATATTAATGATGTTCTTTTGTTTCAGACGTAAATGAGTGCGTAAGCATGCCCTGCAAGAATGGTGGGACATGTCGTGATGATGTGAATGGATACACTTGTCAATCTGTCTCTTATACACATCTAGATGTGTATAAGAGACAGGGCCTAAACCTAAATATAGACAAATTACATGGAAGGGTTTTTATTGATATTGTATTTATAGATCTGTGTTTTTACACAAACTAAAAAATAGGTTCCTAAATGGTGAAATTTCTAGTAAAGTTGTGAAATTAACAATTTTTGTATTACCTTTTATTTTTTTGTTATTATGATAGTGAATAAAAGCCAGTCGGGCATAATAGTTTGCAATTTAAAAGGGCGGATGCTTATAGTATATGGTTTACTCCTCACTTTGACTGGAAACAAGAAAATGAAATCTTTGACATTGGTCTGCTCAGGCCTAGGCCTACTTGCGATCGTTCTAATATGGCAGGCTGAAGCCGCTGCATCTGGTGAGTAAGCGTAATGATCCTTTTGGTGTTCGATTTGTTAACTGTATTCCAAGTTAAATTAATGATACAAATACGTCTGTGAGTTCTTATTTTCATTGCATTTAAATTGCTATAAATCCTTCGGTTCTAGTAAATTTTTGGATAAAAATGAACAAATTTTTAAAGTAACCGTGTTTGAAAAAAACAAATCCAATTTTACAAGTATCAGTACATTTTGCAAATACTTTAGTCACAATATCTACAAGAAAAATTTGCTATGTTTTGCAGTCATTATTGTTAAGGCCTATTTGTGGCACTATGTTGTTTAACATTTCCAATATTAATATTTATAAATTAGGCAAAACTTTTTTATTCCATGTTTCGCATACTTATTTTTTTAAAGATTATCGGAGGAGGGCGGAATAAAAAAAAAAAAAATTGTTTTCTTATTTAGCAAATAGGTTTGCCAAATTATCCAGATGGAGGAGAAAATAAAAATAAAATTTTATTAGTGAATATGTAAAAAAGGATGGTTAAATGCTTCAAATTTATATAATTAGGAAGAAATGTACATCTTAGAACTCAGAACTCAGATTGTTTTATTAGATCAAAAATTACAACAAATATTCTTGACATAATTAAATTATAACAAATATTCTTGATATAAATAAATCTTTGGAGATTTAAAGGCAGCGGAGGGCGTAATAATAATATAATTTTTCTGAAATTTCCACTTTTTCGGGTCGGCGGGTGTGCTAATTGGCCAAAAATAAAATTTTATTTTTATTCGAAATCGTCAATGTTTAAACATGGTATAAAAAAAGTCTTACCTTATTTTGTTTAAATTGTGTATTTATTAATTTCTAAAAATTTACTTGTTTAATATTTGAAAAAATTTGAAACCCTTCTCAGTCTTAACACCCCGGGGCGTTTATTCCAATTAATATGGTATTATATGTGTCTGTTTTTTTAACATCTTTTATTATACTTGTAGTTTCGCCGTTATGCCCTATTACTGATAATCCATGTGTGAATGGGGCAAACTGTATTGGTGAGGGCGGTAGTGGATCATACACATGCAAGTGTCCGTATGGTTGTACTGGGAAGAATTGTGCAGTTTCTAGTGGTAAGATTTTGACAAATAGAAACTGTTCCTTCATTTATATTTGTATGCAAATTTTCTACATAATGTACTTTAAATGACAGCCAGTCGTAATATGCATATGTGAATTAGAATAATGACTTTTCTAAATTTAAACAAGTCAAAAATAAGACAGCGCTGAGACCTACTGTAATCTTTCTGTTATTTATTAAAACATAACAGAAAAGAGTCTGACAAGAAAAGACATTTATACTCAACCTCCACCAGGACTCATACCAATATATTTTGCATGACAAGTACATCCTTCTTTAAAAAGGGGTGTATATAACTCAGTATTTATGATGCTTAAAGGGCCTTACATAATAGGCATAAATAAGTGCTTTCATTTTGAGACTTCACAAAAGCCAGTTGTATGCATCACTGGAACATCACATAATAAGAAACTCAACATTTGTTTTTTTAAGGACAAAACTGCGGTAGTAACTACTTCGATGCACCAGATTATTTTACTTCACCAAACTTCCCCAGTGAATACGATTGTGAACTAAATTGTCTCTATCTGATACGTATCTATCGTGCCCACTCAATAACGTTCACAGTTCATTACTTTGATATTGAAGTAAGTATTACCTTGTTTATTTATCATATAATTATCCA